TCCCACCATCCACAGCTCTCAAGTCCGAAAAGTGTGACTCCCTGTCCGGCTGGGAAACTGCAAACAGGTCGGTGTTTTCATTGAAAGGAGGAGGAAACCCTTCAGACAGATCCCACAGCAGCAGGGGCAGCAGCCTGGAGCAGAGCGCACACACAACTTCTTCCAAGTGACCACTTTCTTCAAAACACGACTTTTACTGCGCAAAACGCACCAAAGAGTCTCAAAAAGTCCAGTTCAGGGACTGAGCAGATGCGTAAACGCAGCCTCCGGTGGTCCGTGGATCTGTCGGCGTCCACGAGAGTCCCCGAAGTGTCGCGCACAAACGCACAAGTGAAGCCAGACGATGAGTGTCAGCGCACACGCTCCTCTGCTCGGTGTGCACAGCTGTGTGCGCCCCTGCGTCCTCACTCAGCAACAGGTGTCAGGAATAAAGTGAGATTCCTCCACCTGGACATCACAAGTTTCCAAACTGTCCCGCTAATTACGAAGGAGGAAGAGGAGGACGGAGGGGGGCGCAGTCCACAGCTCTCCAAGAGTTTTACGCGTAAAAAATGAACAAGAGCGAGAAGTTCGGAGAAGAAGAGAGAGGAGGAGAAGAGTGAGACAAAAGAGAAGTTGTGTCTCTGTCTGAGGGACTGTCCTCCGGCCTGATGTGGAAGAGTGTCCGCCAGCCCACCGGTGCAGAGGGAGGAGAGAGGGAGGGGAGGAGGGAGGAGAAAGTTGTTTCACAGAGACACAGGAGGAAAGAAAGGTGTGTTCTTCAACACAGCAGAATAACACGTGTGTCAGGAGTGAGGTTTAAACCGAAGCTTATTGACCCAACTCTGATTTCCTCCAGAACTCTTCAGTCTAAATTAAACCTGAGTCTGAGGATCAGACACTTCACACTGAGGCTAAAACACTTGTCAGAAGTGGGATTTGAACCCACGCCTCCATTCGGAGACCAGAAGTCCCTTTGACTGGGAAGGAGTCAGTCCTTGAGTCTGGCGCCTTAGACCGCTCGGCCATCCTGACAGTTGCTGAGCACGTGAACATGAAACTAGTTTGTGTTGTTCCCAAACCTCACACAAGAAGATCTTAAGCTGCACTTAACCATTTAATATACAATCACAACGCATTTCCTCTTTGCCACGTTAACTACATTTGCATACAAACACACACACACACACACACACAAGATGTCAATTCTCTGTTGTCACTGACAGAGTCTGATGATCACTGAGTTAAACTAAGTTAGTTGATTTGAGGGCTTCACTCAGTCTGTCTAAATTAAACATGGAGGAAAAGCATGTGTCAGGAGTGGGATTTGAACCCACGCCTCCATTCGGAGACCAGAAGCCCCTTTGACCAGGAAGGAATCAGTCCTTGAGTCTGGCGCCTTAGACCGCTCGGCCATCCTGACATGTATCTCAAGCTATGTCACCTAGTATTTTCTCGTTAATGCAGTATTTTGCATGGAAGAGCAGAATATTCAGGTTCTAACTGGATTTAGAAACTCAGCTGCTTCGTGTTGCCTCCAAAATTGATTGAAACCTGAAAGTGTGGACGTGTGCATGTGACTCAGAGACTGACTCGTCTAATGTGGAAAATGTCCTCAGAGAAAGAGGGGAGACAAAGTGATTTCACAGAGACACATGAGCACCAAACAACAGTGGGAGCAAAAGGTGTGTCAGGAGTGGGATTTGAACCCACGCCTCCATTCGGAGACCAGAAGTCCTTTTGACTAGGAAGGAGTCAGTCCTTGAGTCTGGCGCCTTAGACCGCTCGGCCATCCTGACATAGACCACTGATGTCACCAGAGTCTGTATCGAAGCATTAAAGAGACTTTCTCCAGACAGAGGAGGAGGAGGAGGAGGAGGAAGAGGAGGGGGAGAGGGAAACAGTGTTGGTGCATGTTTGGACAGTCGGTGGCTAACAGCTTATTTTAGAGGCTCTGCTCCTCTCACCTCGTTTTTATTTCCTCTCAGAACTTTTTCCTACCCCCCCTCCTTCAACCACTCATTGACTCTACACATTTATTAGAGGAAATAAAGACAAATCTGTGTTCAGAGAGTAAAACATCCAGACACAAGTTAATACCGTCCAACCACAACTGAGACCATGAATCATTTACCTCGAAAACATGTAAAGTACCATGAGTGTGTGTCCTGAGTGAAGCTGCAGTTTGTTTTGCTCTCTGCCCTCCCTCTCCTCCTCTCTCTCTGCTTTCTCTTTCTCTCCATCACCCTCTCCGTCTTCTTCTTTTTCACCCGCGCGTGACGTGATGTGTGATGATTGAAACCACATCGTCCCAAAGCCAAACCCGAGCCCTCCCTGCTTCCTCTGCAGCCGCTCACTTTATGGTTCTACTGCTCCTGGCTCCTCCACAGTCATGGAGAGGAGACATGTGCTGTCTGTACACACACACACACACACACTCTCACACACACACACACACATGTTCATAAGTACATGTTATCTCAAGGACATCTGTGCTTTTTGAGTTGTGAAGCAGTATCAGTGGGATCTTAGCGACATGCTGTGCAAAGAGAGGTGAGTCTAAGTGTGGGACACAAATTCAAACAGGGAGAGACACAGAAATCATTTTGTTATATTAAGTGTATTTGATATTTGCTTTATACAACCTGACAGGTAATTTATAATGAATTAGGTTAGTTTTAAGTATAGTACAGTAATGTAAATCATAGCAAAGTATAGTATTGTTAGGTTTAGTATAGTAGAGTATAGTATAGTATAGTTAAGTTTAGTATCGTATGGTAAAGCATAGTGAAGTTTAATTACGTAAACTATAGTATAGTTTTTGCAGTTATCATATAAAAAGACAGAATTGATCATTACTCAAACCTTTTCAGTTCAAAAACTAACATAAGTAAGAATGATTCTTCTCCCATGAACTGTTTCACCACCATTCACACATTTATACGACTTTTTTCCACAGAAAGTTATTTATTCAGGTAACTTCCAGGCAGATTTCCCAACAATTGGAATATTTAAGTCTAAACATGTAATCATGTGCATACGTCTTGTTCTGGAACTTTTTGTTCCATGTTAGAGTTTTTAGACATTAGATATTTATTTAGTTTCTTGGTTTGAGAGATTGTTTGTTTTCACCAGCTAAAGATTAGAAACGTGCCACAGTCACTGGAGGAAGCACACTGGACGAGAACTGGACACACACACACACACACACACACACACACACACAGAGAATGATGACACATGAAACAAGGAGAAACAGGGAAAGACGGATTCTGACAGAAATGACGGCTGCTGCTCAGTGGGTCCTGTCTCCTCTATCTCTCACTCCATCACTCTCTCACTTTTGCCATCACATAAATCACGGGGTCATACATGCATTTCTCTGTCCATCCCTTGACTCCCTCCGCTAGTTTTTATTGGGACAGACGATGGAGAAAGCAGAACCGATTCTCCACGCACTCCCAGGTGCTCACACACGTGCAAATCGTTGCCATGTGTGACTGTAAACGCCGGCGTTTACAGACTGTCAGCAGAGTGTTTGATGTGCGTTACTGTGTGAAAAACAGAACGACCCCGGCGACCTGATGATGTTTTCATCCCTGTGTGGAAATTCTTCACAGAGGACGAGGTCAAAGATGTGGTGAAGGTCAAGGTTTGAGGTCAGTCGAGCTGAGTGGGTCTGTTAAACCAGGTTTTCTAGTTGAATGAGTCCAACTCGTTACACTGAGCTGCTGACGTACACAAAGAATAAAGAAGTGTGTGTGTTTCAGACTCTTCCTACAGTTTCTTTGTAATTAACCTGCTGCCTTTACCTTCACACACAAACACTCACCTCGTTTCCATCCTTAAAAGTTCCCTCTGGTCTTCGGTGTTGCATCTGAAACCAATTAAATTCATTCATCTGGTTTCAAGTATGAAGCGTCCACTGCAGAAACATGACTTTCTAAGATTCTCTGACGTGTTTTCTGAGAAACAATCGTGTACGTTAGAGAAGAATCTAGACAAAACACACACACGCACAGGAAACGGCTGGGGCTGAACATTAAGAAACTTTTTATTGTCGGAAATGATGCAAATATCAGCTCGTCCATATTTGCATCAGCATGAAGTAAATGTATGTTACTGGAGTGTGTGTAGGTGAGGGTGTGTGTGTTAGTGAGTGTGTGAGCGTGTGTGTGTGTGTGTGTGTTCCCCCTTCCGACCGGGGTGAACCTGGTGTTTCAGAGTTGGTTCAGCTCGCCAACCTTTTAAGAACAAGTTTGCTTTTCCACGTGCAAAAGCAACGTCACTGTGCACACTCTGATTTCCCAGCAACACTCGCCCCGACCCAAAGCACAACATACTACAGCATGTCTTATTTAAAAGTATTTGTATTGCTCTTTATAAAAAAATAATAGAGTTTGGTTCCTGCTCCGGAGATTCTTTCCTCTAGACCAGTGAATTCTTGGTGCCAAAGTTGAACCAGTTCTTTTGAACGTCGAAACTCTAAGAACTTGTTGGAGATTAGACACTTGCGTCCAACCAGCATCAGGGTGAGGTCTCTCTAAAAGGACACTGGTGGAGATAGAGAAAACTGTCATTATTGTGGGCGGACTGGAAAATAAACCACTGGTGACAAGATAAGAGGCTGAGTTGAGTTTGCATGTGAAGGAAGGAGATAGAGAGAGTGAAGGAGGTAAAATGAAAAGGAAGGAAGGAGAGAGGACAAATGGAAAGATGAAGGTCCAGTGAGTTCACACACACTCACCAGTGTGTGGAGGCGTTTGTGAGTGAAGACAAACTGAACAGTTTCCCAGAAAATTTGAGGAATGAAAATAACATTTCTGTTACACAAAGTCATGTTTACATTTTTCTTTATCCTTTCTTAATACTCTTCTTGTGAGGTATTAATACCTTCACCTCTTCTGGCCTCTGTAAATCCCTCAAATCGAAAAAATATGAGAAAGACAATTCACCCTTTGGTCAAACTGAACGTTTCATTGAAGAAGGAAAAGAGACAAAAACAATCCTTCCACAAAAGATAAAGATAAATTCATGTTTTATTTCCATTCTTTCATTTTCAATCCACGACAGAATCACGTGAGTTCCAGTCATCACCACTTCCTAAAGACAAAACATCATCAGTATAAAACACGCAAAACAAAACACTGGATTTACAACAACACGCTCATATCTGACTGAGTTTCATTTCAAAATAAAACAACCTTCGTAGGTCAAATGTTACACGAGATCTCTCCTCCCAAAACTGTTTTGAAATGAAACTCCTCATGTTGCTTTTGACTTTAAAGACACTGCTGAAGAAAAGATTTCATCAGAGTTTGGTGTAAAATCAGATTTGAGAATGTCGTGTAAATCCCTGTCTTTGGGTTCCGTGTCCACCGGGCGTTTCTTTTTTTTTTTTGGGAGAGCACAAGTTGCATGTGGCCAACGGCAGTCACGTCTTCAGTACTCAGCACAGAATGAGACTGTAGCCGTGTCCAAATTCAGGGGCCGCATCATTGGGAGGACGCAGCCTGGCCTCCGGAGTCCATAAAGTCAAAATGAGACAGACTGGAGGGCGTCACCAGCCGATACTGCAGCTCAGCCACTCGCATAGCTACCTTGTTAGCTTTGTCACCACTTGTAAGCCATATGTGAAGGAGAATTTGAAACGGGACAGCCTAGCCATAGACCTACTGTCTCCCATTTGCCTTTTTGTCTTCCTCCTCCGAGGGATGTGGCCCCTGAATTAGGAAACAGCTTAAAATAAAAGGCCCCAGTCAGAGGAGCTTTTGCATGAATTAGATCCTCCGGTGCTCTGTGCTGCAAGTGTGTAAATCCATGCTCGGGCTGTCAGCGCTGTGGGAAACATGCATTTGAGTGTCATTTCCACTGTAAACAACAAGAACAAGAACGTGAGCGTGGTGAAAAACGTTCCTGGTGGACACGGAGCCGCGAGTAGGTGCAACATACAGCAACAAATCTGTGCTCTCTTCCAAATCACACACAAACAATAGAGAAATTATTTGGACACATTATGTAACATACCAACCAATAGATGACAATATTTTCAATTAAACAAGATTAGTGTTTTATATATTCATATATTACCAAAAGCAAAAAAATATATAACAATTATTTCATCTTCCCTTCCTCCAGAGAAAGAAAAACAGACGCGTTTCAATAAGGGGAAATGAGTGAGTTCAGACATCTCCTCATGTTAACTCTAAAGGGATTGTCACAGGAGGGTAAGTGAGGGATCATCTGAACTCAGCACGGACGCACAACCCAACAGAACGTGTTGCTTTCTTAGGTCAAAGAGAAACACAAACCATCCACACTGGTGTGTTTTCATAAAGGGAATATTGCGAGATTTATTGTGGTTCTATGCTTTTCGTTTGTTGTGTGAAACTATAGATGAAAGTGTTGTGTTCCCCTGATGAAAGCTGCGTTGCTGTTAATTAAAACTTCTCTCTTTACAATTTACACAACGGCCGGGAAAGAAAGAAACTTTCATCAGACACCTGACGAAAGAAAATACAAGAAATGGAACTAAAAGTGAAAACGATAGCAGCAAATGATGTAAAGAAACAGAGGCAGCTGAAATAGACACTCTCATATCTGAATAAATGACAGTGTGACAACAGTGTGTAAGTCTGGCATCAGAAACAACCTGGCAAACTCAACTCACTTTCAAATACAGTTAGATTTTTTTTCTTCCTCCTCGATAAACTACAAGTCACAACTGCTGATCACCTGGAAGGACACAAGATGGCCGCTGTGATGTGTCCGCGAACACAAGTGCGGTGAAGGCTCCTCCTGCTGAAGTATAACTTTTAATGTCTCAAAAACTATTTCCAATTAATTAGCATGCCAACGACTGCGGGCGGAGAAGTGAACAATATTTTCCCTTAGCTGGCCCCGCTCATTTAAAAAATATACAATGTGGACTGAAGACGCAGTGGACGAATGTTTTTCAGTGATATCAGGATTTCTTTTTTTTTTTTTTTGTGGATCCACTTTTTCATCTGTGAAAACGAGATGAGTGAAGAAAAGGTTTTCATCCTCATGTCCAACACTGAGAATCTAATTTCAGGGGATTATGGGGCGGGCTGGCTGACTGTGTGTGTGTGTGTGTGTGTGTGTGTGTGTCAGCAGCTGTCCTCCAGGGCGTTGACAACTTGTTCCAAGATGTCGGGGCATCGGTCGGCGATCTGCTGCAGGACCTGATTGGCGTACTCTTGGAGCTCTGCCCCCTCCCTCTCACACAGCTCTAACTCCGCCTCCAACTGAGAGAAAGATGGAGACAAAAAGACAAAGGAGATTTCAGACATGTTGTTAATCCATGTTGTTTCTTCCCAGTTCCCATCTGGGATATTGTGGCTTCATTTCTGATCAGTGGGATTAAAGTGGAGACGCTCATCTATGTAAAAGTTATTGGTTTGAGCACATTTCCTAATATGTGGAACAATTCTTTTCAGTTGAGTAAGAGAAGCAGAAATGACAAAGGAGATGAGAGAAAGATACAAGATTTAAATCCAACGTAAGTCAAACACACAAAAACAAACTCCTTACAGCTCCATGGATGATGGAGGAGCATGTTTAAGGTGACACACGCACGCGCACGCGCACACAAAGCACTATAATCTGAAGACACCACAATGTAGTTCTTTCTGACCATATACAGTGGAACATTTCAGGGGGAGAGTGCTAATGTTGTTTTCTTTGGCTGCTGCCGAGCTGAGATGTCAAACTCAAACTGACTTAATGACCAATACATCTGTATCAATACGAGCGCGGCTCAAACAGTCATGTTAACACAAGCCCACATTTGTGATACTGGTTAAGTTCGAACCTCTTCTCTCTGCAGAAATCCAACTTTTATTTTACTGATATTGTTATTTATTTTTCTTATTTTATTCTGTCCCTCAACTTTACACAAGTAGAAAATCACTTGAGTTGAATATTTCACTTTTAACTACTGAATATTTCTGAACAATGGACAGGTGAAGAGGAAGAGGAGAGCAGTGGAGCTGTTGGCAGAGAGGACCAAGGAGAAGGAAGAGATGAAGGAGAACACAAGGGAATAAATGGAAAAGAGAAAGATTGAGAGGCCTATTGTGAAAGTGTAATTAGCATAAGACCGTAGGGAACCACACACACACACACACACACACACACACACACACACACACACACACACACATGCAAGCCCACTCACTGACTCATTCCCTCTTTCCGTGTGATATAAGTAAGAAACTCTCATTTTGTTGTTTGCTACCAAACTTGAATAAACCATGTTTGCAGAGTTATGAATTGTTTTTTTTGCCTTTGTCTTCTCGAGATGAAAATGATGTTATCAGGGTTTTGAGGAATCACCATTATTTTCCATGTGAACGAGACAAAGGAGAGATTAAGAGCAGAGTGATGAGTTCTGAGCGTAGTCCAGCTTTTATCAGCATCATCTCTCTACACCTTGATCTTTATCATTTCCAACGTTTTTCCCATCTACACTGGCCAGACAGCTTCAGACCAATATCCACCCACAACCGAGTGTACGTGATGCTTATCAACACGTTTCCTACTTGTCAGGTTATGTGTGTTTGCAGGTGATTTATCTCGATGGCAGCACATTTTAGATGCAATCCCTCAGAAAAACACAGCAGTAAAGATAAGATAGCAGCACGGCTGAGGAGATAAATGGTTTATTGTGTGTTCGCTGTCGTCTGCTCTCTGACTCTGACACAGCCTTGACCTGCCCCACAGAAAGACACTTGAAAAAAAACCCTCTAATGAGGCACCACTAGTTTTCTATCAAACGCTTTGTAACTTCAGAGGTTTGATTGAAGACTAGAACATGTACCTGTGTGTGTGCGATGTGTCTGGAATGGTGGTGGGGCTTTGCATTTAGACTTATATATAATTTTTTTTTATAATTTTGTTAATGGAATAATTGCTTGAAGATGGACAGTAGGTAGCTCCTGTACATAAAAGCTGTTTTTATATATTTTTATATCTTGCTCTTTTTGAAAAAGCAAAGGTTACACAGAACTCAGAACAGGCCACGACCCCCAGGTTGAGAACCACTGATCTAAACCACTCATAGGATCCTGAATTTAATCCTTGAAAAATTGTCTCAGATAGACAGAGAACATATTACATCCTCAATTCACTCCAATTAACCATGAAAGAAACATGTTGTCATAACTGATACGAATCAAAAGCAAAACTGGGAAAACAAGACCCAGTTTTGCGAAGAAAGTTATCATAATTGATTCCTCTGCTAAGAAAAACATCCCCACGATGCTACGCAATAAACTTCATCTCTTGCTACATTCAAGCCGATGCTCATTTAAGGCCTGAAGAGATTAAATATCAACAAGGTTGCACTATACAGTCCCAGTTATGAGATATCGGTTTAGATGTGGTTACAGGCTCCCATGGATCACGTCCCATGTGATCACAGTGTGTGGCCACAGAGAAATGTAGATGAAATAATGGAAGAGGGCAGAGAGCGAGTGTTGCCAGATTCATGACTCCTCAAGTGTGTGTGTGTTAGTGTGTGCGTGTGAGTGTGTGTGTGTCTGTGTGATACAGTGGTTTGGGTGTTTGACATGACAGGTGTGTGTGAGTGCACAGTGTGAGGCTTAAGTGTATGTTGCAAGCTCAAGTTCTAATTTAGTGAGTGATAGAGAGGATTGTGGGTAGTAGGGAGATAGATAGAGGTAAGCCATAAGACGTGTCTGTGTGTGTGTGTTAGTGTGTGAGAGAGAGAAAGAGAGAGAGAGAGAGAGAGAGAAAGAGAGAGGGGGGACAGAGAAAAAAGAGAGGGATTGTTGAAGATGATTTTTACTGCAGCTATTAAAGCTCCATTATCATGATGGATCGTTATCTACCTTATCGGGGGCCTGGAGCAGCACGCACGAACACGCACGCACGTGCACAAACACGCCGCACACACACACACACACACACACACACACACACACACACACACACACGAATAAAATCAAAGCCTTGTGCAAAACATGTCCATACACTCGCTGCCTATCAGCTTGAGAACGAGGGTAAGATTGGTGTGTGTGTGTGTGTGTGTGTGTGTGTGTGTGTGTGTG